CAAATTATACACGTAATCTTATATATAAGGTATCATTAAAGAGAGGTTGTTTCGAATTTGGCGAAGATTAGTGAAAGGGTTACCGATTTCTGCCTAAAAAATGTATAGGGTAGACCGAGGCAAATCGGATTACTAATTAGCACGATAAAATTGCTCGTTTAAAATAAAATACTAACGAAAATTGTCTTACAACTTATATTAATCCTATTCGCCTCAATCTACCCTAAGTTATTTGATGGATAGCAAATCCTCAAAAATTTGACGTTTTCGAACATAAGCAACACATTGGCATCGAAAACTCAAAAAACAATTTTTACTTTGATCTTTTCTACCCCTATTTCATATATAATTTTTTAAGATTTGGTTGATTAGACCCAGCTTTATATGCGATCAAAGGTCCATAATTTTGATTGTATATAAAGCTAAGTCTAATCAACCGAATTTAAAAGAATTATATATGAAATAGGGGTAGAAAAGACTTAAAAATATAATAAAATTAAAAATAGAGCAATATCTCCAAATTTGTGGAAGTTAAAGCAACCACGGACATTTCTAAAAAAATTCAAAATTTTTTTAAAAAAGAACTCCTTTACCGATCATCGCCAAATTCAATACCAACCTTCCTTGAATGATACTCTATCGATTAAAAAAAAAACAGCCCGATATCTCAATATTTGCGGAAGTTAGAGCAACCACAACATCAAATGTACATATACACACACAGACACACACACACACACACACATACGGACATTTTTTTTTTTAGGCAATATTTTAACGTTTTACAACAATCTGAACACATTGGCAGAAAAAACTCAAAAACCAATCTCTTCGTTGGTTTCTTCTACCCCTATTTCATATATAATTTTTTTAAAATTTGGTTGACTAAACCCAGCTTATAAACGCAATTAAAGGTTCATATACGAAATTCACGAAAACAAAGCTTCCTCTATGAGAAAGCAAAATTAAACAATAAAAAAATTGTTAAAAAAAAAGACACCCGACTGCTGCCTAAAGGTGCTTTTTCATGGGCGTCAGTTGACGCTCGAAATCAATTAGATTAGTATAATGACGCCGATATTCTGACGCGCAATGAAAAAGGTTTTCATGCGTCAATTTTTGGAACTCGCGTCGAGATGCCAGTTGACGCTAGAAGATGGGAAATCTGAACTTCTCAGCGTCGACGCAGAAACAACATGACGTCACAAAATCGTCTTGACGCGCGACAACTGACGTCCATGAAATCGCACCTTAAACCAGGTTAAATTAAATGCAGAAAATAAAAATTAATAAATAAAAACAACTTATAAAAAAAATAAATTTAATAACTAAAATTTAAAATAAAATTTAAAAACAAAAAATTAAAAACAAAAACTTATATAAAAATTTAAAAACAAGAATTGGTAATTGTATAGATGGGGGGATCACACGCACATGCACACGCACACGCACACGCGCACGCACACGCACACGCACACGCACACGCACACGCACACGCACACGCACACGCGCACGCACACGCGCACGCACACGCACACATGTGTGTATGTTCTGCTTTATAGAAGTTGTGATTTTCTTTAAAGCAGGGCACACACACGTATATATTAGTCATTTATGCCTTCCAATACTCAAAATAGCTGCTATATTTTCGAAACATTTTTTGTTAATAACTTTTTAACAAATAACGAGCGCGGGCTAAAACCTTCTGAAGGTCACTCAGGAGGGTGACCTTGACAACATACTAAAATATCAAGGTCATCCAAGGTGATCCCCCCTATTATACAATTACCAAAAATTTATATAAACCCATGTCTCAAACTTATTTATTAGTAAGATAGAGTAAAGATTATGTTTAACAGTAAAACATATTAAAGTATATTTTTGACGTGGCCGCCGTTTTGTTGAATGCAGCATTCAGCATCATATGTATCCATGTTTCTCTGGTATCAGTGTAGAATTATTCCTAATAGTTGCTGTAGCTTCCATTATGCGATTTCTTAAGTATTCTTGCGTGCCAATAAGTCTACAATAAACTAAAGACTTTATCCAACTCCATAGAAAATAGTCTAACGCTATTAGACCATTTTCTATGAGGTTGGATGAAGTCTTTAGTTTATCATAGACCTATTGGCACGCAAGAAGAATTCAACAAAACGGCGGCCACTTCGAAAATACTTTAAATGTTTTACTGTATTAAACGTAATCTTTACTCTTTAACATCTTACTAATAAATAAGTTTGGAACATATGATTATATAAACTTTTTTGTTCATTTTGATCTAAAAAATATTTCCCTAAAATAGCGCCGAACAATTCTGAAACACTCTGTATAGTATGTTTAAAAAAGTTTTTTTTACATTTAGGTTTAAAAAAAAGTATTATTTGGCTAATTACATTGCTTTTATATCTATTTTTGTGCAATTTAATTTTCGATTTTATGATACATTACATTTTTTAAACGTTTTTTTTTTTAAATAGTTAGCGAACATATTTTTCTTACGCAAGGTTTTCTTATAAGAGTCAATTTTTATTGTAAACATAAAAAAACTTTCCCAATACTTTTATGCATTTTGTTATATTTGTTCTGCATAAAATATGTATGTAAAAAATATACATTTCTAGCATTTCATAATCAATTGCATTTCTTTACTTCTAATAAATTATTAATACTCATATTGTGCCTTTATATAGAGTACATACTATGTTTACGTAATATTAATCACAAAATTGCGTTACCTAACTTAACCCAAGTGATATGTATTTCAAAAAAAGATGTGAAATCTTTAAATGAATTAAAGCTTGGGTTGGAATGAGAAGACCCTTGAATGGGAATACACAGATACGTATCACTTGAGTTTTATTTTTTAAAAGTAGTTGTGCAACAATTATTTTTCAAAGCAATATATATATATATATTCTCTTTGCAATTGACGCAATTTAAAAATTTTACATCTTTTTTTGAAATACATATTACTTGGATTAAGTTAGGTAACGCAATTTTGTGAATTATTTTGTTAGGAAGAAATAAACAAAATAAAGCTACTATACCATTTAGAATTTCTGGATTTACAACATACATTGCGCGTATACTTGGTACCTTTTTTTACTTTTTTTTGAAAAAGATAATTTTGTACTGATATCATGCATTTTATAGTGATAAGCAGGTATCGGCAAAAAATTTCCATTTTTTATTTTTTAATTATTCACAAATTAGCAATAACAACAAATTAAAATTTTATTGAATTAGCAAATTAGTAATTAGTCACAAAAATTACTAATTGTATAAAAATTAATATTAGGCTAAAATGAATTACCTATTAGTTAAAAGATTGGTAATTTGTCAGAGAAAAATTTTTATAGTTACGTTAAAATTATAGTATTTAGGCAAAAATAAAATAATTTTTTTTGCAAATTGGTAATTAGTATAAATAAATTCTTTATTATTAAAATAATTAATAGTTTGTTAAATAGTATATTGTGCACCAAGGGGCAAAAGTAGCGTTTTTCAGACGAGTGTGAAGTTTGCCGTCCGAGCCGAAGGCAAGGGCAGCAAATCACACAAGTCTGAAAAAGCTTTCGCCCCGAGGTACACACGATATTTTTTACAATATCTTTACGGAAAGTTCGACTTTCATGCCTAGAGAGAGGCGAGAGTGGCCATTTCACGCCAGGACGGCATAGCGGGCAGAAAGTAACCACTTTCCTTCCTAGGGCGAAAAGTGATTACTTTCGTCCTGTTAAATAGGGACGAAAGTGGTTACTTTCCGCCCGCTAATGCCGCCCTGGCGTGAAATTGGTCACTTTCGCCCCTCTCTACAGGCATGGAAAGTCGAACTTTCCATGGAGGTGTTGTGAAAAATATATATTACTATAATTTGAAAATGAATAATTAGTAGAAAAAGTTATTAATTTTTTAAATAATGAATAATTAATCTCAGGTAACTTATTTATTTTACAAATTATTAATTGGTTTAATATAAATAATTTAATTATTACAGTTAAACGTGGTTCAAAAAATAATTATGTGTCATATGTCATCTTTTTCAAGAAATTTTAAAGGAGACATTTCTTAAATAAAACTTGATTTTTTTCTTAAGATAAAAGTTGCATATCTTGTCGAGACGTTCTCAAAACACTATAATAAAGCTCTCTTTCGTTAAGGATTTCCTGAGATATTTAAAATTTGTCATATTTTTAATATAAAATATGAAATATCTTGTAAAGTATTAAATTCACTTTTTGATGACTTTACGTTGATACTTTTATACGTAGAATAATAAAAGAAACTGATTGTTGTAAAAAAAAAACAATTATTTAAAAAAATTTGATTGTATTTTGTAGACGCATTTAATTTTTAAAATAAGTAATTTACTTGACAATGAGACTAATTATTCCTTATCCACTAATTATTAATTTTCAAATAAGTAATAATTTATTTTTTACAAACTTAGTTATTTTAATAATAAAGTATTTATTTTTACGTAATTAAAAATTTTTCTCTGATAAATTACCTTTTTTTTTGTAATGTGTAATTCACTTTTACCAAATTTTTTTGTTTATTTTGACCTAGAAAATATTTTCCTAAAATAGTGCCATGCAATTCTGAAACACCCTGTATATGTTTAATAAGTAAATTTTTATTTCATTTTTCTGTAGGTAATTCTATTGTAATTTTATATAAATTCTAAGACTTATAAGATGGACTTAAAATCAAAGTATAAAAACTTGGCATGCCCGGTTTGTATTTAATCAAATCAGAAGATGTTTATAACATTAAATTTATTTAAAATAGCTATTAAATATAATTACATTAAATATTTAAAACAGTTATTAAATATTAATGAGATTTTATTAAATATTGAAAATTTAGGAAAAAGTTTTTTTATTTATTATTCTTCCGTATAGTATTATGTTTTCTTTTTTTCTATTTAGTATTAGATGTAAAGATAAAAGGAATGGAAGGAGAAAACATATAAGGACAAATCGTGTGATTAACTTGTATGTATTTTATATATTTGGCGTAGTTTCGATTTTCATAATTCGATACATAATGTGTGGTCATATTATGCTCCTACAGGTCTTATGTAAGATGTGGCTAAAATCACTTTCATAATTATCCAAATAAAAGATCCATTAAAAGAGATATCTTCATGGGTAAATGAGTAGCTGAAAAAGCGAAATGTTTTCAAATTGTATACAATATGTTATTAAAGAATTATTATATTAGAAAATATTTAATTGTGATCCTATAAAGTATTTGTATACTTTTATATAAATTTCAAAGAATTATATTAATATAATATAATTAATTTATAATATATATATGTGTGCATATGTGTTATAAAGGTATTTCAATACTTTTATATATAAGTAAACATTTCTCTAATAAGAAAAAAGAAGATAGAGATCTTCACTACTTCTAAAGTAAAGGAAATAAATTATGACAAATAAAGTTAAAATTTTATAGTTTGATTAAAAGATTTGATGTATAGAAAAGTAGTAATATTTTAAAATAATAAATTCATGAATAAATTATAATGTCAATATTGAGTGATTAACGAGAGAGATGATAATAGCTTGTTATGCCATGTCACAAAATATTAAATTCATTATTTTGCTATTATATTCTAATAGCTTCATTAGTAAGAAATTTCATTAGCAATATTGCATTATAATGTATTATATAGCGTATTATAGTTTAATTGCTAATTGGCATTAAATTATCTACGAATTAATAGTTATAAGCGAAAAATAGCCATTGGTAATGGCTGCTAGACAAAATTTCCAACCGATAGAAAATGTTTGTTAATAAATTCTGCTAAATTGAACCTTGTATCAATTTCCGAAAACAATATAATATAATCTGTGACGTCATAATCCAACTCTGGTTGGATTGAAACCCGGCCCAGTCAAAAACGCTATTACATAATTCCTTGGAGGACTAAAAACACCTAATAAGCTTTAAAAACAAAACTCGGTCATCAAGAAGTTAAGCAAGAAAGAGCCTACAATTTTTCCTATAATAATTGCAACTGTAACGAAATCAAGACGAAAAGAAGGCTCACATATATAGAATGTCTCTTTTCGGAGAAAATGTAGCTCGAATATGTGGCTGTAGCTCTATTGATAATGAAAATGGTGTATATATTATAAACTGACTATGTGTGTATGATTAAGATTATAATTTATAATATATAAATTTATAAAATATCAAATAGTTATAAGTTTATTAAATATAAAATTAATTTTTTTCGATGTTATTCTCTCTTTTTTTATTTCTAGAATCCCGCTCTTTCACTGTTGTCACGAAAAGATTTACGAAATTATTAATATCTATCTTACCATTGAATTATAATCGTAGATGCATTTGGTATAGTCATATGCTAACTGACATCCATCCATCGATTTCATTGCTGTAAAAATAGAAATTAAACACAAAGAAATTATATATGAAATTTTTTATGGAAAACATTTCGGACTATTTTTTATTTTATTCAAAAAATATTTTATTTTAAAAAATTACATCAGTTTTGCTTACCAATTGAATGACATTTTTCCATCGCTTTTAAAACAAGTGATACAGAGTCCTCCTGTAACATATGTTCCGCTATTTTTGAGAGAGCTTTTTCAATTATCTTGTCATTCTTCATCTGAAAAAAAGAGAAAAGTATATTGCTGTAAGTATTGATAAAAATCGTAAATGAGTTATGTAATTTGTTTCTTTTTTTTAAATTATTTTATTTGAATAAACAGCTATACATTTTTTCTTATGTACAAGTTCTTTTATCAATATCAATCAATTTGTTGAGTATAAAATTTGACAGTTAACTATTTAACTAACATGGATGAATTTGCTATATTAATTTATTGGGAAATATACTAATTTCTTAATTAAGGTTTATAGAGAGACATCTAAATAGTCGTAACACTAATTTACACTGCAAATTTATCTCATTTCTATTTTTTAAACTAATTTAAAAAGATTTGAGAAATATTTATAGAAAATTACTAAAATTTTACTTACTACTTTTGTATTCAGCATCATACATTTGTAGTAACATTGCAATTTTCGATCAGATACGAAATTACCTTTGACTGCATTATCGGGCAACTCTATGCACAAATCGATATTAGAATCTTACTGTATTCTTTATTTTTAATATATTATTTTTTAAATAAATTATTATTTTATCTGCATATATTATAAAAAATGTTTATTATATATTTGTCCATAAACACATATATTTATTATCTATTTTTATTATGTAACGTAGCTTGAGTGAGAGAGAGAAAGAGAGAGAGAGAGAGAGAGAGAGAGAGGCCAGTAACTTGGTTTTAACAAATACCCCAATTTTCACGAGTATTAAAACTTGTCTTTTAATATTAAATTTAAAGTTTTAGTTAAGTTTTAAAAATTTAGTTTTAATTTATATAATATATATAGATAATATATAAAATAATACAATACAAAAAATATATTATAATATTTTAATATAATTTTTGGTATTCGATTTATTGTGTATTTTAATATTAATCAAACATTACCTACATATACTACATATTATTAAATTTTTATAATTTTTTTCTAAATTGAAAGACATATGATTATAAAATATGTATTACATAAAAATCTAAAGATCTTGACGGTTAGATACATTACATTTTGTAATATACGTAAGTTTGCAGTTTTTAATCTGACATACTTGGATCCGTGCCCACCCTGTCAAGACAATGCTTCTTCACCGGCTGCAGAGCCTTCCTTATTTCGTCAAAGGACAATTTTTTCTGCGGAAATAAAAATAACTCAATGATAAACGTGAGACATGAATGTTTACGTTTAAACAAATATATATAAATTATAAAATAAATACACCAATCTATTTTTACAAAATGATTTAAATATATTTCTCAAAAATTATGATATAAAATTTTAGTATTAATTATTATTTTTAATCACTAATACACTACACACATACACACACACACACACACACACGGTAAAATTTGCAGAATTTGTAACATATTAAATACAATGTTAATTATAAATTTTTCTTAATTTTTTTCAGATTATTTATTGATGTACTTACGCATCTTTCTTATTTTAAGAGACTTACACTCTCTGCATTTTGAAGATTCGCCATAACCACACACGAAATGAAAAAAATTGTACCAGTGGCTTTCATTCTTATTCGTTGCATTTTATTAACCTTTTTTAATTTTTTTTTAACGCGATTAGGCCCCTCGATGAATTGCCACTGAGCCAACTTTTGCAAATCATATGCAAATACATCCGTTTACTTTTATATATGGAAGTAAAATAGAAGGAGAACCTTTAATATCGTGAGGTGGCACATCCTAATACTTCTAAATTACCGTTTTGGCTGACGTAATTAAGGATACTTAACACTAATACTGACACCCGAGTCTTATTATCATTCCCAGAGGTCGGATAACCACAGCCTCGACCATAGCATTATGCAAGTTACTTGCGGTCTCGCAATTATGTATTTGACGATGCAAAATGCATGCATAAGGAAATAAGCGTCGAAAAACAAGATGATTGTTTCCACAGAAACAATTTTATTGATAATTATAACAACTATAGTTTTTGTATAAGATTAATTTATTATCTGGAGCTTTATTTTTTCTACATATCTTTTTTTAATTATTATTGTTATTATAACATAAAATTTTTGTTTTTAAGCATTACTTTCTTGACTTTAGTTTTATTCAATTTAGTTTTAAAGTTTTAATAATAAAAATAAGTAAGAAATTCTCAATAACTGTTGATTGTGATTTAAAAATAAAATAATCACAAAAAGAAATTTGAAAGAAAGCGAATCGCTAATTTAAAAAAATAAAAGAATATTGCACTTACTTTTAGGAAATAATTTCTCTCTTCATCATTTTATCCTATTTAAATTACACTCTAAATGCTAATTAGAAGTTTCATTATTAAGACTATTCCAAAGCTCTGCGCTTTTTTTGTGATTTATATAATTTTTTATTATAAATATAATTTATATCATAAATATAATATAAGAAAATGTAATATTTTTACAGAGTTTAATTTATTGTTTTATGTTTATTAAAGTATTTGAGAACAATGAGAAGATTTCTGAAAACTATGTATATGTATTTATGTTTATATTATTTGTTAACGAGAAGTATAATTTTAAACAAAAATACATCAATCGACGCGGTATACTGAGAGAAAAATATATGGTATTTAGAACTATAATGACATAGTAAAATAATTATAGTTAGAATTATCATATTTATAGTAAATGTTACCATAATGTTGGTTATAATAACAATATAGACATAGTATAACTAACCCATGTAAAATTTTTACCATAAATTATAATCATTTTAAGTAAAAATATAGTAGGATTGCAAATATAAAATGATAAGAGAAAGTAACCATTTTTAATAGTCAATACAATTGAATATTTTACAAATATTGGTTCAGATAACTATATTTTTATTATTATTTTATTATTATCGCGTAGTGCGCGATTTTATGATATATGTAGACTATTTATAACGCTTACATCAAACTAAGAAGTAGTCTACCACATAAGGCAGTTGGCTCACGATCCAGAGGTCCCGAGTTCGATCCCACCAAGGTAAGTGTTTTTTTCAGATACGAGAAAATATTTATAATATAGACTGCATCTTAAGAAACAAATTATAGTTAAAAAATAGTAATAAAATTTCGAAATAAATATATTTTTTTGTTTTAAAGATGGTTAGACTAATTCATGTCATAGTAAGGCTGCCTATAAATCTGTGTCCATTTTACTATATTTTGTATGTTTAACTAAACTATAAATATATAGTTGATGCCAAAATTCACTATAAAATATAGTGAGATTATAGTTATTGCAACTATTTTTTTCTCTCAGTAGGGCAACTGGGGGGAATATGCCAGTGTGAGGGAATATGCCACTCGTTATGTTTAACAAAGCTACGGCTAGGAGCGTTGTTGTAAATGTGAAATTGTTAAAAATATTATATCTGACGTTTTGCCCAAGTTTTACTTACTTCCTGTCAATATTGACGTAAAACACGGTCGGTCTCGCTCCACGTATACTTGGCACGAGACACTACCGTAGTGTCCTCTTGATAGTTTTTATGGGGTAAGTACAGTATATGACAAGTATGACAACGTGCTTTTTAGAATTTTTTTAGTGTTTCATCTATATATATATAGAAAGATGTCCTGACTCATTTACTGACTCATCAACGCCCAGCCCAAACCTCTGAACCGAATTTTTACCAAAACTATATGAAATAGGGGTAGAATTTTCCGGGGAGTGCTATGTGTATAGTTTTTTGTTACCGATTTTCTGGAAACCGGTTTTCTAATTTTTCTAATTTTTCGGAAAATAATTGACCAAATTTCAAAGAATTGTAGATCAAACAGGGGTAGAATTTTTCAGGGAGTGCTATAAAGTGTATAATTTTTCGTTACCAATCTTTTTGAAAGCCGGTACCAAAATTTTTTCAATTTTTCGAGAATTAATTGACTGAATCTTAAAGAATTGTATATGAAGTAGGGGTAGAATTTTACGGCAAGCGCCAAAATGTGTACAATTTTTGTTACCGATCTTTTTGGAAACCGGTTTTTTTAATTTTTCCAATTTTTCAGGAAATAATTGATTAAATCTCAAAGAATTATACATGAAGTAGGGGTAGAATTTCCCGGGGAGTGCTATAAAGTGTACTATTTTTTATTACCGATTTTTTTGAAAACCGGTTCCGAATGACTGAATCTCAAAGAATTGTACATAAAGTAAGAGTTGAATTTCCCGGGGAGTGCTATCAAGTATATAATTTTTCGTTACCGATTTTTTTGGAAACTGGTATCAGAAGTTTGACGAATTTTTCGGGAAATAATTGATCAAATTTTAAAGAATTGTATTTAAAACAGTGGTAAAATTTCCCGGGGAGTGCTATAAACTGTATAGTTTTTCGTTACCGATCTTTTTGGGAACCGGTATTTTTTTGGAAATTGGTTACGAAATTTTTCCAGTGGGAGAAAAAGAGGGAGAAAGAGTAAGAGGAAAAAAGAAATTTTTTTAGAAAAGGAGACAGAGAGGGAGAGAGAGTGAGAGAAGAGAGAGAGGGGGGAGAGGGAGAGAGAGAGAAGGAGAGAAAGGAAGAGGGAGAGAGAGAGGGGAGAGAGGGAGAGAGAGAGAGAAGGAAAGAAAGGAAGAGGGAGAGAGAGAGAGGGGAAGAGGGAGAGAGAGAGAAAAAGAGAGAGAGACTATATGTGTGTCTTATTACACATGTCCTCCGGGGCAAAGCTCGAGTAACCAGCTAGTATAAGATATTCATCAAGCATTACACTATTTTTAACTTGATCAGCTTGTTGTTCTATTAATATTGGTTAGGATGAAAGTATTCAATACGTCGCCGATTCGTTTTACTGGCAATCGTATAATACAGGCTCATTTTAATATAAAACTGCATCTTGGGGGCTTGGGGGAATATGCCACTACTTAGATAAGGGTAAAATGCCAGTACTGTTTACAGCTTCCTAACCCTAGTAGCAGGATACTGCTACCCATACAGCACAGATTGTTGCAGGAAGCTTCCAGAAAGGTTTAAAACTTTTTAAACCTTTCTGGAAGCTTCCTGCAACAATCTGTGCTGTATGGGTAGTAGGTTATAGGAAACTGTAAACAGCATAATATAAATATTTTGCCATATAAATATTGAAAAAATTATGAAAAAATGATAAAAAAATATTGAAAAATGTTGAATAAAGACGTTTATTTTATGCGCTAAGAATATTATAGGCTACGTACTTAATATTTAGCAAAATTGTATTTCGAATAATTTAGACTACTTGTAACACACAGAGTACTATTGAAATGCAAAGAAAGTAATAAAAATATTCTTTTACATGTTTTTAGACAAGAATACCCTTCTAAAGTTAAATTACTATACATGTTTGTATATGTGGCATATTATCCCATACTATGTGGCATATTACCGTAATATGCCACTTTGCAACACTTTAATTGTATTTCTTTCTTTTTAATAGTAAACGATCAAAATATTTCATTAAAACCATATATAAATAACAGATAAAAGAAGGAAAAAGAAAACCAGTATGAAAAGATACTTCAAAAAGAAAGAGAAATAGGAAAAAAATCTTATTTTTCTTAAGTGTGGCATATTTTCCCGAGTTACCCTACATAAAAAAGACAACTGACCATATGACTACGTTATTACATAAACTACTATGCTTATTTGAAATTTTTTTGTCAAACTTTGAGTAAAATTTCAAGTAAAATATCTAAAGATCTAAATCTCCATTAAAAAATATAATTATACTTTTACTTAGAATTTAAGATTGTTTCATACGACTTAAAATTTGCGTGAAATTACAACAGATTTACAGAAAACTAAAATATAATTATTTTAATTAAACTTATGTAGTATCTTTAAAACTGTTTCTTTTTTAGGTTTACTTTGTAATATTTGGCTATTTAAATTGATTTTATATCAATTTTTGAGCAGTTGATTTTTTATTTAATGATGCATACATTTTATGCATCAAATATATTTCTCTTATACTTGGTTTCTTTTTTTACTTTTGAAAGGTTTTTTTTTCTGAGATTTTTATTATTTTCAAATAAAACTGACTGTTACTCTTTCACATGTCGTTTAAAACTATTAACCAGTTGTAATTATAATAAATTAAATAATGCCTATATCATTGCATATTAATAATTATTAATATTACTAATGTATAGTTATGTATAGTAATGTATATTCCACTTTGCCACAATCTATTAATTCATAAAGTTATTACGATTACACAATTCTCGTAACATAGACGATTGAAATTAATATATTTGTACATTCTTATGTTTGCCTAATGCTAAATATAATTACATTTTTTCGTTGTATGCGATCGTATTATTATTATCATCTACATTTGATGTCGATTAAGGGAAGAAGAAGTGATCCGGATCTGTTTGATAGCTGCATTTCACAAACTGATAAGTTGTTTCGCAATCGTCGCCAGCAGGTGCTGTAAAAAGAAAAGAGTGCTATTTACACATTTTCTTTTACATTGCAATCTGTGCTAATGGAAGATATGTATTTCTTTTTGCTTCCTCATAGAGAAAGCTGTTTTCATGATAAAAAATTTTTTGGAGTTGTCGCTGCCAATGTGTTTAGAATGTTCTAAAACGACAAAAAATACATTTTTTTTTATGTCTGTGTGTGTTTTTGTGTGTGTGTGTGTGTGTGTGTGTGTGTATGTACATATGTAAATGGGTGTTAATGCTCTAACTTCTGTAAATTTGGAGATATCGGTCTTACTTTTTTTTATGTAGAGTATTATTAAAGGAAGGTTGGTATTGAATTCGGCGAAGATCGGTAAAAGGGTTCATTTTTTATAAAATTTTCAATTTTTTGAGAAATATTTGTGGTAGCTATAATCTTGAAAAATCTCGAAAAAACCTAAACAGTAGTATCTTCACCTAA